CTATCTAGGTTAAGCAATTATATTAAGGCTTTGCCCAAGCTCCGTGTTTCCCTATTATTCAACAAATATTTATGGTGCCAAGCAGTACCAGGCACTGTATATGAAATCCTGAACTAAACATTTAGTGTCTAATCTCTTGCACACTATACTAGTATTCTGGGATAATCTGTTATGCATTTATCACTAAAATATAAATGACCTGTTGCTCATATCCCCGCTAGGCTGTAAATTCCCTCAGTAGACACTTTGGCTTGTAAGTCACTAAACTTAGTAAAGAGATTAAAATCTCAGGGTCAGGAGATGTAGTGCCTGTGTCTGTATCCTAGCTCAGTGACCTATTGTATTATCTTGGGCAAGTAGCAATCTGTTTGCTTCAATTTTTTCATCTCTAACATGGAGGTGATAGTATTACCTGCCTCAGAGCTGTTGAGTTTTGGCTGTTGGCTATTGAGTTGATACATATAAAGGACTTAGAATAATGCCTGGAATACAGTAAACAATAAAAAGCAAACTATTATTGCCTATTTACTAAGGTCTGAACTTAATGGGGATTAAATAATTAGTTGAATTAAAGAGTTAACAAAATAGTAGAAAAATGTATAAATAGCTGTTTAAAATGTGGTTGACTGATTTCAAATTAAGGATCCTAAATCAAAGTTTATAAGTTAGAGCAGAAACAGGGTTTGCTTCAAATATATCTGCAGCATAAATATATCAACTCAACTTACTACTGTGACTTTATTTTTTATTTGATTTATTTATGGCTTGGCTTTGCATTAAAATTAAAAACTCCACAATGAAGAGTAATGATCTGTTACATAAACTTCAAAAAAGAAAGACTTAACTAAAGAAGATTGGGATCCATTACCCTTCAAATAAATCCAGAGTTATAAAAACAAACACCACTTTTCTCACAGCTCCGTTGGCTAATGAGTATGGGTGTGGTTGGCCTACAGTTTTCAATATTTCTGGGTTCATGAACAAAAGTTATGAAGAAATCTTTAAAAATTCATGTTTTAAAATATTACAGAAATAAAACATGACTCACTGAAAACATTCAAACAATGCAGAAATTTTACAAAACTAAAAAGTCCCCGTCACCCCAACTTTCTAGGGTAAACTTAACATTTTTGATATGTATCATTCCAGGTCTTTATTTGATATGCAATTAATTGTATGCTGGGGTCCAATCCCAGCAGGTCCAGGGGTCCCCAAAGGTGTGGACGGAGTCGGCGAAGAAGGAATGACACGAAGACAGCCTTCAGTTGGTCAGCAGCCTAGTCAGGACCTATAGCCAGGATCTCCAGCCAAAGTTCTGGTCGGAGTTCTGGTCAGGAACTGATGAGGATCTGACGTTTTATTGTCTTATTACATCCGTATTTATACCAGCCGATTTCAATCCTGTAAGGTGTTTCTCATCTCCATTCCAGGGAGTAAAGACCATGTAGCTTGATTACCCGCCTGGCTCTTAATTAAGGGGTTGTATCCCCTCCCCAACCTCAGGGAAAGATCCCCACCTGGGGAAACAACCTTTCTCGGAGAGGTGACCTTGGTTAAAACACATGGCGCTAAAGGGAGTAAACATATTAACTAGGATGGACCGGCCTCCGGCAATTGTATGCATATATGTAGTTCTATAAAGCAAAAGAAAAATATGATTTAGAGACATGATTCTAAAACTTTTCTCACTCAAAAATACAATATGAGCATCCCTCCTTATTAGCTTGTATAGACCTGCTTTTTTTTATGATATAGATATCTTCTTAATTTTATCCATTCCCCTATTGCTGGTCATTTAGGTTGTTTCACTTTAAATTTGCAATCACACAGAATGCTGCAATAAACATTCATGTCAATATGGCCTCTGTTTGTATCATATCTATAGATTAAGTAAATGGGATCAGTATTCCATTTTAAATGTCATAAAGCCTAATATTTCAAATCTAGAGAACAAATGTTTGAGATGAAAAGTTTAGTTAAATTATAACAATTCATGTGTCTCAAGGACTGTATCTTAAACTCTGGTTTTTGTTTTATTTTGCAGTAAGAATTCTCTGTGAAAACATAGACCAGAAAGATTGCTCACCACTTAGCAGCCATACAGGCCTTCTTTCTGCACTTCAAATATCTGACCACAGAGCTTTATTTAGCATTTATAGTCCCCTTTTCCTGGAACAGTCTCCAGATATTTTCATGGCCAGCTTTTTGTCTTTCAGGCTTCAGCTCAAACCTCACTTTCTCTGGTAATCCTATCTGGCCATTCAGTCTAATTGCTAGGGAGCATGTGATTTGGATGTTCTCACCTTGTCAAGAATCTTTACTGAAAGGTTGGGAGTTTCTTTCCCATTATTTTCTGGTTTCTATGCATGGAAGGACATGTGCTTAAATTTGAAACAGGAGCATCATCATTTTGGTTAGTTAGAATCAGGAAAAAATAGCTTTCAAGATGGCTTTTTGTCTTGGGCAATGTTTAATATATGCTGGGGCCTGTTCTCTCCAAGTCCAGCTGTTTAGTGGAACTTAATCTCCATCTCTACTATTTGTGCAGCAGCTATACCTGACAATTCAATGAAGATACAGGCCATTTCCTTATTAATGCCCCTGTGATGCCTGGCCTTTACTAATTTGGTTTCTGCAAAACATACATGAACTTAATGCAGAAGCAGTTGAGGATTTACTGCAGTAGCCTGCATCTCTTGTGTTTGTAAAAACTCAAGTAAAAACAATGAACCAGGTGCAATTAATTGAAAATCAGTGGCCATTATTAAAATATTGAATGCATTTCTAGATCATTTTATAGGGCTTCCACAATAATTATTAAAATATACTTTTTTCTCCCTGTCTTTCCTAGGGGTCATATCAAAACATTATAACATCTCTCAAATATCACATGAAGGATTTAAAATATCTTTAGTCTAAAATGGCAGATTGTTCTCACATATCTCTTCTCTATAAAAAAAATCCTGCCAAAATAACTAATCCCCAAGGTTATGAGAATAAGAGATGAGACACCATTAAATGATAGATGTCAAACCGTTTTCAGAAGGCCAAGGCAGATGAATATATGATAAATTAATTCAGAGATCAGAGAAAGTTACATAGTAAATGTCTGTAATGGGGCATACTAAACAAACCCACTTGATATAGAACCCGTGAGGCTCAATTTCTGCAGGCAGCAGTCTCCAAGGAAGGGGGAAAGGTGGAAACCTGGGATTCATTAAAGTCTGTGTTCAGAGCTGTTGGATATCCAAGACCCTTAACCCACCCTGGGACTCTAGATGACTCTTCCTTCCCCATCCTGTAAAGTTTATTTTCTTTAATTTTTGTATTTATTTTGGAAAGTTTTTTTTTTCCTAGGTAAATTAAAGCAAAGTCTCAAAGTCAGAGAAAGGCACAGATGAAGGTTGGGGTGTATAGCATCAAACAAGGGAATTACTATGTGAAAATCTATATCCATTGCTATAGGAATGCCACCCCTACTCCCGCATCTTGGCCTCATTAAATCAGGATCCAAAGGATACTCCCTCCCCTCCAACACACGCCCACGCCCACACACACAGTCAATCAGAAGATTATTCTCTGAAGAAACCATGTGGTTCCTGAGAAAAGAAATCCAAATACTGACATCTGGGCATTCTCCAAGAAAAGGCCAGCTCACACTCTCTAGGGACAAGAAATCTATTTGTTGACAAACTACTCATACACAATCCACTTTCCAGTGCCTCACTTTTAAATAGTGACAGCCCAAGGTAATCAGACAAGGAAGGCTTTCTAGATGAAAGAGAAAATCATTTCAGTGTACTTTCTGCCCTTTCCCCCATTTCGTTTTTAACCCCCAAAGTGAAATCCCAACTAGGCCTTGGAATGTAAATCTTAAGAGAACACATTCTAACGTTGGGATCATGAGCATCTGAGAAGAAAAAGTATATCCTAAACGCGGTACCCTCACGGATGTTCCAAACCTCATCTCACCTTGAGCAAGTGTGTTATTTGTATCCTGAATTTATGTGGCCGCTGCACAAAACTTTATGGCTCCTCAAGAACCTTGAAACTTAGCAAGCAGAGACAGCTGGAACCACACAGCCTTTATCAATTATATAAATATCTTTAGCAATTATATAATTATCTCTTTTCGGAGCAATGTCCTACCTCAAGAAATGTTGAGAGCTCAGTCCCTCCCAAGGCTCTAGCCCCATGTCCCCTGCGATATTGCCACGAAATAGCCCTTCTCCGGCTCCGCAGACCGGAGTAGCGCCTCCCTCCGCCCGCCTCGGGTCCCCTCCAGCGCCCCCGGGACCACAGAGGCCCTGCGGGGCCGGTCCCACCGCAGAGTCGCCCTTCTCTTCGCACAGACAGTTCAAGGTTCCCTAGACCAAAGCAGCGGCCGACTGTTATGTAAATTGCCTCCCACCCCCAGCGGTTTGTTTGTCTTTCCTACTGCGATCTGTTTGGGTAGATGGACCCTTTGGCCCCCCCGCTCAGTTTCTCGCTGGGCCCCTTGGCGGCGGGGTCTGGCCCAGGGGGAAAGTGTCCCC